AAAGCTGATAGTATGATAGAAAAAAAGGTGGGGGGAAGGGAGAACACATGTATGGCCAAGAAATCTTACTGAACTTAGCTGTCCACATAGAGGGAGAGTAAACTACTCTGATGAGCATCCCTGAGAAGTGTGGAAAGCACAGACCCAGCATGCTGGAGTTCCAATGCCTCTTGCTTGCCCGGTTACAGGACAGCAATGTTTAAAAGATGCCCTACTTATGGTTTCAGAATGCTGAAAAATTCAGGAAAGAGGAGTCCATAAAACCATATAGGAGACATTTTCCCAAATGAAAGTGACGGGGAAAGAGATGTCAGCAAGAGGGGAACTACACTAAACATCAGCACTGAGGTCCCAGAAAATACCATGAGACCATAGGGTTTTAAAGGATCTTTTTAGAAGAGAAGTTAATGAGTCTTCTGCATCTTTCTCTCTCTCTGAATCAATAATGTGTTTTCTATTTGGTAATAACATATCTGACAAGGGACTTATCTCTAGAATTTATAGAACATTTCAACACCTCAATAACAAAAAGACAAACAATCCAATTAAAAAATGGGCAGAAGACATGAATAGACACTTCACCAAGGAGGATATTCAAGCGGCCAACAAACATATGAAGAAATGCTCACGATCATTAGCTATTAGAGAGATGCAAATCAAAACAACAATGAGATACCATCTTGCTCCAGCACTAGTAGCAAAGTTCAACAAGACAGAAAATAACAAATGCTGGCGAGGTTGTGGAGAGATTGGGACTCTCACACACTGCTGGTGGGACTGTAAAATGGTACAATCATTGTGGAAAGCAGTATGGCGATTCCTTCAAAAGCTGGAATTAGAAATACCATTTGACCCAGCCATCCCACTACTAGGTATATACCCTAGAGAAGTGAGAGACATGACAAGAACAGATATATGCACGCCGATGTTCATCGCAGCACTATTTACAATAGCTAAAACATGGAAACAACCTAGATGTCCATCAGCTGAGGAATGGATAACCAAACTATGGTACATACACACAATGGAATACTATGCAACGCTAAAGAATAATGTAGAATCTGCAAAACATCGCATAACGTGGATGAACTTGGAGGATATTATGCTGAGTGAAAAAAGTCAGTCACAAAAGGACAAATATTGTATAAGTCCGTTATTGTAAAAGTTAAGGAAAGGTTTATTTATTAGAGGAAATTTTCTTTGTTGGTTACCAGGGGTGGGAGGGGAGGGGAGGGAATGCTGTTAGATAGATAGTGATAAATATTGATTTGGGTGAAGAGAAGGGCAATGTACCAAATGGGAGTGACCAATATGGCACCATTGAGGATGAGAAAGACATAGAGAGGTACATGGGAAGTACAGACAACAAATATGAACCCTTTTGCATATACAGTACTGAGTGGTCAGTGAAGGCAAACAGGGGTATATGGACGGATAGATAGGTGGGCAGGCTAAACAATTAGGTATGTCTAAATGGGGAGTGTATCCAAGATCATATATAGGGTTGGCAGACAATGGGCCTATAAGTTTATGTGAGTGATCAGAATTCCCAGGTGTATAGTAGAGCTGACAAGGGGCAAGGTTATGGTCATTGCTTGGTCACAGCCAGCTACCCAGAGGGACCGAGTAGTTGATCCTGTGGGCTTGGGACCATAGTCGCAGGGGACATCAAGTTCAATTGGCATAACATACTATACAAAACATTGTTCCACCTCCTACTTTGGCGAGTAGCGACTGGGATCTTAAAAGCTAGCAAGCTGCCATCTAGATGCAACAATGGGTGTCTCCTCGTCAAGAAGAAAGAAGAAAACCAAATGAATGGAAACAATCAGTCCTAGCGACTGGTACACCATCTGATCTGCAACCTATACAACTATGAGACCAGAAGAACTAGATGGTGCCCGGCTACCACTGTCATCCGCTTGGAAGGGATGTACGAGATCCTGCATAGAGATGGAGAACAATGTGGAACAAAACTCAAAATCATTTGGAGGCAAAATAAAAAAGAAGGTGGGGACCAGGTTTGCTGGTCCAATAGAGCCTGGTGAAACCACTGAGACTATGGCCCCTAGCTGCCCTTCAGGTCTGGGATTGAACCCACACCTGTGGTTTCCAGCCAAACAAAGTACAGGCACGTGAGTTAAACATTTACCTCAAGTAGACACACACCCTGGAGAGAACAATCATGGGAGAAGGAAGGGCTGCTTATGCACAGGGAGACAGCTCAGGGCGCAGAAGAGTATGGAGGGATGGACACTGGGAGGAGGTAACTATGGGGAGGAAGTGGGAGGGGAGCTGCTGCATTGTAAATGTTGGTCAATGACATGAGACAAAGTATATGTGAACTGCTGTATGAAAAGTGAATTTACTCTGTAAATCTTCACCCAAATCAAAATAAAATTTAAAAAAAAAAAAAATGTGTTTTCTCAATATGAACAGGTACCACTGAGATTCCTGAACTTCCTTATTTTCTTCCCAGACACTGCTTAATTTGCAATGTCCTTTCAGGAACCATTCTGAAAACCTTTGGTAGGGCTGGAATGCAATTAATTATCCCTCCATTATATCCCTAGCTCCTATAATGGGTCATTCAAGCCAATTTTATTACACAAATTCCACAAATCAAAGCAAAAATCTTTTGTATGGCTGAGGAAAGGGCTTGGTGGCATCAACTATCTTCCAGATATCCTGGGACTGAATATAAAAGCCAGACAAACAGTTTGCTTCCTTCAAGTAGTTATAAATGAGAGAACATAGAAGGAATGTTGTTAATGCTCAGTAATACTGAGTATAATGGTATAATGGAATAGTAGTAACATCAATCTGAATTATGTATCACCTTTCATTGGAGACATTCATACTCTTTGAGTAATTAGTGTCACCCCTTCTTTACTGGCAAGGGACACAAAGGAACAGTGAGCTAGACACCAAGAACTTGCTCAAGATTACAGAGTGACTCAGAAGCAAGCTCAAGGTAGAATTAGTGTCCTGATTCCCACAAAACCTCTGCCTCTCTCTCTTTTCCAGGTGTGCTTAGAAAGCTTTTTCTCATTTCTTCCTGAGCCATCTTCCACTCCCAGTTCCCTTCACTGAGTGTGCTGGGAGAGACTGTTTGGGAGAGGAGTTATAAAACTCAGAGCATCCCTTTGTGGCACCAGCAAAGTCATTTCTTTGGTCTCCTGTGCTGCCAAACCTTTTTAAAATGTTACCGTCTTTGGAAAGGCACCTATCTAAATATCTTACTATTCACCAGTGGGCAGGGAGAGAGAGGAGACATGCATTATTATTTACAATCTGTTCAAGTTTCTTTTGTATAAGGATTAATAGCTAATGCTTTAGTCCTAATTCAAATGAAAATTGATGATTTATAAGGATGCAGAATTGTAGGAAGAAAAAGCACAAATAGCTAAATATGTGCTACAGAACTGAAATGCCAACTGAAAAAGATCACTAATTGCCTCTGATTATTCCTTCAGTCCCCACTTAATTACAGAAAGGATCACAAATGCACCAGAAGAAAATCGCAAACCTTGCTGACACAAAGAATGGAGAGTGAAATTAAAAATCAATCATTACTACAGTTGTCTTATTAATGTCAAAATGTAAGCATGAAGACCCTGGATTAGGGCCCAGAGAAGTGATTCACCAAGTCAGACATAGTTAAGCCATTATTGACATTAGAGATTTTGACTTTCAAAAGTTCAGTATTTTTGAATAGAACCTAAAAGGATATTTATGAAGCTGTCCTTTTTGCATGTGGAAGACTGGTGTTTTGGACAAGGAAGATATAAGCCAGGAGATGATATAATTTAACTAAAGCTGATGTGTATGAAGAGAAATCTTGAATGGCAATCTGCACAGTGTCTTCAAGGGAACAGAAAAGGTGACAAAAGACAATAACATGAGTCATTGGGGTTGAAGAGACTGACATGGAAAACTGCACAAATACAATGGATCTAGTGAACACTAAAGTAGTATGCTTTCAAGCTTTCCTCTTTTAGTTCAATCTGCGTCACTCTGACTTTCCATAAAAGTTGTGTGGGAGAAAAGAGGAGGAATAGAATTAAGAAAAAAAAAAAAGCTCAGGAAATATGTAGAGAAAAATTCTGAAGATAAAATTTTTATGAAGAGTCTCTCTTGGTCCTAGAGCTGGTATAACAAATACCTAGGCAGCACTTCTATGGAGAGAAGAATCAAGTTTCCCTTCCAGTGACAAGAGCACTAGTTAATACAAAATGAAAATTTGTTTTTTAATTCAACTTGGCTTTTTACCGGTTTTTCCTGTCTGGGATACGGATTTGAGAGAAACAGCGAAGATGCTGTTTGGGAAATATAGGATCCAAAAGAGCATTATTCACCTACTACATCTTGCTCAATTCTGGATTGAAATGAAATAGAAGACTGAGGACTATTTAAAACATGTAGTTCATTCAACGGACAGAAGGGAAAGAAAGAGACTCAATGAAAGTCTAACTGCCCACTTTTAAGAGGGCTAATCTGAGAATTCAGAAGTCTTATAAATTCAGTAGTTCTAAGAAACAAGATATTACCAATCTTGGTCTTAAAATCTTTGAAAAAGTACCATTCTAGTTCTGTTATGGGAAATTTAGGGTGATAACTTACAGTGAACATCTAGTACTAGCAGATGCCACTGAAGTCCCCAGGTCTTCACAGTGATTCTCTTCATTCTAAGGAGGAAATGAGGGCCATTTAACCAATTACCCAGGTGTAGACTTAATCTCAAATGAAAGACCACAGAGTCCGAGGGCTGGAGTATTCCCAACTACCATTATATACCAACATTCTTATTATCACCACAATTAACCTTTCTCAATGTGGCCAAAATCCAGCAACAGGACAAGTTCAGCAACTCAACCACTAGGTTTTGAGTTCCTTGAAGGCAGAGGATAGGTTTTATTTTTCCTTATATCCCTAGCACACAATACAATGTCTACCACATAGTTTAAATGCAATAATGTTTTGCTAAAATAAGATGTTACCATGTAAAATGTCTGAGTCATCTTCAACAAAATCGATGTCTCTCAAATCCCACTCTGCGTAATTGTCAAACTCCTGTTTGGGAAAAAAAAAAATCAGAACCCCCAAACCCATTAACTTTAATTAATGTCTTAGAGTAGTCATAAAATAGAAGCAAATAGAAAATAAATAAGCAAATACTGGATTAAAAGTAGTGAATGACAAAAGGAGGAATAGAACAGAATTTCAAATTCTCACGGAATCCAGACTTTCTGAAACCATAGAGACTAGATGAACTCTCAAAGCTATTGCCCTGAGTTAATCTTTAAACTTTAAACCAAAAATATTCCCTGAAATCTTCATAAAAGCAAACAATAATTTAGCTTAACTAGCAAACAATGTCTGCCTTGAACATTATGCTCTTTTCAGATCTATCTACATGGGATCAAATTACAAACAACAACTGGAAAGATTGGATAGGAACCTTACAGGGCAATTTATGTTAATGGAAAGAACAACTCAAAGAAGGAGGGTAAGAAAGGTTGTACAACTTGAAGACTGTAACCAATATCACTGATTGGTACATGTAGAAACTGCTAAACTGGTGTATGTTTTGCTGTATATATTCTCAACAATGAAAAAACTAAAAAATTATTTTAAAAAAAAATAGTGAATGGGGTAAAAGGCCAGGATACTTTGCAAATAATAGGAAGTCATGGGAAAAATATTAGATATTTTGAGGCAGTAGTGACAGTAAAACTTAGAATAGTAATGAATTCAAGAATAAAGCCAAATCTATTGTTCTAAAAATTAACAGTAGTCTGTTCATTCCTAAGAAAACCTAACTTTGACCAGGCCTTCAATTATTTTAGGAAGGAGAAATGTCTGCATTAATCATATACGTTTTACTATGTTTTGATAGATCTGTTCATCATATTCTATTCAATGAGTTACAGTTTGCAGGGGTGGTGTCTATGGGGCAGCCCTACAATGTCATCTGCCATGAACAAAATGCTAACTAGGTGAGGCTGGCAAAATTGTTTGTAGATTATTAATAAACTGTCAAGTTACCTCTAGGAGTGCTATGCTGTGGGTAAAACAAATCAAGGGACTTGTGAGCACATCCACACAGTTTCAATTCTGTGACTAGATGAGGAACATGTGATTTTTATAAACATTCGCCATTCCTTATATCTTTGTGGATACAGGGGTTTGCAGGGGTCAGCAAACTATGGTCCATAGGCTAAATACAGCCCACAGCTTGTTTCTATAAATTAAGTTTTATTGGAAAACAGGCACACTCATTTGTTTATCTACTATCTATGGCTACTTTTACACCATAATGGTGAACTTCAGTTTTAACAGAGATTGTATGGCCTGCAAAATCTAAAATATTTACTATCTGGCCTTGTATAGAAAAAGTCTGCCAACCTCTGATACAATACAAGAACCCTTAAACCCCTGAGGTGTGGAGTGAAAACCAGACTGCAGAAATCTCGTACCTACTAAAGAAGAAGGGGCCAACACTAATGCCACTCGAGAAACAGATTCTTGGTTTCAAGAACTTTCATTGTTCCACACGTAAAATGTTTACACATGAAAAAAGGCCCTCAAATAGAAGAAAATGTGGTTGCCTAAGGCCCTACAAATTACATCACCTTGAAAATCTCCTTTCAGTAGTACGGAGCCTATGGATAAGAGGTATGAGCCTTGCCATAAACAAGCATCTTGTGCTCATGCTAAATGCAAGTTTCTCCTACCTCAATGAAGTCTGCTCGGGCTGGCATGTATCCTGCCATGTCCTGAGAAAGCAGGGAGTCAAAGGTAGGCCGGGGAGGGTCATCGGTAGCTAGAAGAATGTAGAATTTTTCTTAGCTACTTAATAAAATATTAGTATGAAAAAGTGACATAGAGATAGTCTTCATCTACACCCTGAAGTATTTTTGTTTGGTGATAGAAAATGTCTCTGAGAATTATTAAAATTCAAAAGATTTTTACAAAGGGCAACGTAAAAGAGATTATAGGAATACAGATTGATTTCTTAAAAAAAGAAAAGACTTAAGGAATTCTTTAAATAAGTATGGGGACCTTATCTCTGATTTTTACTTCCTTAACATGAAAGGGATTGTGGGGCTGGCGCGGGATCGGGCAGTGTTTCGTTCTGCTGTGCATGGGGTTGCTATGAGTCAGAAACAACTCGACGGCACTTAACAACAACAACAACATGAAAGGAGGGAGCCCTGGTGGTACAACAGTTAAGTGCTTGACTGCTAACAAAAGGGTTGGCAGTTTGAACCCACCCAGTAGTTTCATGGGAAAAAGACCTGGTGATCCACTTCAATAAAAATTATAATCAAGAAAATCCTATGGGGCAGTTCTACTCTGTCACATGGGGTCTCTATGAGTCAGAATCAACAACTATACCCAATAATAACAACATGAAAGGAAGCCTAAGATCTTTACTTCTAATATTACAGAACCAAAGTATTTACCCTATCTTCTCCAGCTCCCTTACCCACTTAGGGCCAATTTCAATTTATAACTTTTATCCAACTGAAAAGCAAAAAACACTGGAATTGACTCCCAGCTTTAGCATCCACAAGTCCTATGACCTTGTGTGAATGATTTAACCTTCTGAACCTCAGTTTCCTCATGTATAAAATGAGGAGAGCACTTGCTCTGCGGTGCTCTGAGGAACAAAGGGTCAATGGATATGGGAGCAAAGTGCAAACTAACATCTTAAGTGCTATGAAAATAAAGGGTATCATGAGGCTTTAAATTAGTCACCTCTAAAACTGTTTCTAGAGACTATGAGGAAAGGGATGAGGGAGGAGGAAACATTCATATCTTATTACTTATGCTCTGGGAGTCATTCAGGAAAGGTATCATTTATAATTCATCATGGTTTTCATTATGTTTTATTCAAAGTTCCATGAGTTCCGAAGCCAAGCGATTAGGAGGAAAAATAAGTTTGTCATTACTGCCACAAGCAAGTAAACAACACAACAAATTGCTTCTTGGACTTAACACTGGGGTGATTAGTAATTACTGATTAATAATTACTGGGTTCTCTTAAGTAACTAATATCTATGACCACAAACTCTCCAGAGGGATTGCAAAAAGGCTCATACTTATAACAGCATGAGAAGGTTAGCCCTTTGTGGACATCTCATTATATAGACGCAAGCATTAAAGTTAACTGATATATTTAAGGGACTCAAGAGTGGGACTCAGAACTACACATTGGCTCCAGGTACCCTGATGTCTAATATAGAACTCTGATTCCTAGGTTACATTTCCCATCCTGCCATATTATGGGTCTGACTCTCAATAACTATCATGCCAATTTCTCCTATCTTCCATAAGCTTTCCAACTGTCCAACACTTCAAACCACTGTTTATCTGCTTCTGAGACAGGACTGAAAGATGAGTTAAGTATCCCGTACCAAAATAGGGAGGTACTTACAGTGAAATGGAATGGCTGTGTCAGCAGTTTTTGCCTCCTCTGCTTGCTTCAGGTTTAGCAAGGTAGATGCAAACAGGGGGTTATTGATGAAATGCTTCATATAGTGCTTCTCACACTCCTCCTTGGTCTTGGTACACATTTGATTGGCTACATCCTGCCTAGAGAAGGAGTACGGGAAAAAGAAAGAAGGAAACAGTGCTTTCATTTATGTACAATGCTAAAGCATGGTTTGTCCTTTCCATATGTTTGGAGTCTGATACCTCTAAACTAGTATCATGAAGACATCAATAGAACAATGAGAAAAATATAAGCCTGGTATTAATGTAATCTGACATTTCAAATCCTGCTATTCCAAGATACAGAAATGGTATTTTAAAAGTTCCCTTTTCCACCAAAAGAAAGAAAAATCACTAGAAAATGTGTAAATTTCTCTGTGAGCTAATTTGTAGAGAAAGAATTGCTATAAATATGAAACTACTTCAGAACGCTAAAAATATACATATAGTTTTATATTTGCACAGTGTTTTATAGTTTACAAAACATTTCACGTGAACAAACATCTCTTTATTGGAGCTATTGCCAGATTCTGAACTAGAAACATTCACAACATAAATTTAAGTTAATCCTAGTACTACTAACTCAGTGGTATATTATTACTATATCAATTTAATAACAACAAAAAATGAAGCCCCCAAAAATTAAAAAGTGTGTTCTAGACCCCAAAGCTAATATGTGACAGTCAGAATCTGTACTCAACACCTATTACTCCTAGCCCCGATGATGGAGAGGTAGAGGTGAAATCCCTCAAAGTCCCCACCTCATCCTCTCTCTTAGATAGTATTCTGTCTATCCTCCTCCAAGGCATAACTATGCTCTGTTTTATGTATTTCAACCATGCGTATATATATTTTGATTCCCCTAATAGACTATAAGGGCTAGATCCATCTCTTAATTCTTAGTTATAGGCCCCCTCACCACCCAGCTTAGTGCCTTACTCAAATCGAGTAGAAAGGCAACAAATAATCATTTATATGGTCTGCTACGAGGGAAGAGGAGCAGGAAGACTAGTCCATTTTGGAGAGTTAGAATGTTAAGCAATAAATAAAAATCTAGGCCACAGATGACTAGCAAGCTCTTCACTTTTTCTCCTTTCTTCAGTACTTCCCACAGTATACAGTATCTTATGTTAAATAAATGCTGAATGAATGAATATAAGCAAAATGTAAATGGAACTCAGGTCTCCTACTCTAGGGCCCTGAACACAAGGGAAAAAACCTGATTTTTTTTTTAATTTGGGTGAAGATTTACAGAGCAAATTCACTTTTCATACAGCAGTTCACATTACTTTGTCTCATGTCATTGAACAGTTTACCACAATGCAACAGCTCCCCTCCCACTTCCTCCCCATAATTACCTCCTCCCAGTGTCCAGCCCTCCATACTCTCCTCCCCCTGTGCTGTCTCCCTGGGCATAAGCAGCCCTTCCTTCTCCTATGATTGTTCTCTCCAGGGTGTGTGTCTACTTGAGGTAAATGTTTAACTCACATGCCTGTACATTGTTTGGCTGGAAACCACAGTTGTGGGTTCAATTCCAGACCTGAAGGGCAGCTAGGGGCCAGTCTCAGTGGTTACACCAGGCTCTATTGGACCAGCAAACCTGGTCTTCACCTTCTTCTTCTTTTTTTTTTCCCTCCAAATGATTTTGAGTTTTGTTCCACATTGTTCTCCCTCTCTATTCAGGATCTCCTACACAGATCCCCTTCCAAGTGGATGACAGTGGTAGCCGGGCACCATCTAGTTCTTCTGGTCTCAAAGTTGCATAGGTTGCAAACTGGATGGTGTACCAGTCGCTAGCACTGATTGTTTCCATTTATTTTGATTTTCTTCTTTCTTCTTTGCTCTTGACGAGGAGAGACCCATCATTGCATCTAGATGGCAGCTTGCTAGCTTTTAAGATCCCAGTCGCTACTCGCCAAAGTAGGAGGTGGAACAATGTTTTGTATAGTATGTTATGCCAACTGAGCTTGATGTCCCCTGCGACTATGGTCCCAAGCCCGCAGGTTCAACTACTCTGTCACTCTGGGTAGCTGGCTGTGACCAAACAGTGACCACAACCTTGCCCCTTGTCAGCTCTACTATACACCTGGGAATTCTGATCATTCACATAAATTTATAGGACCATTGTCTGCCAACCCTATATATGATCTTGGATACACTCCCCATTTAGACATACCTAATTGTTTAGCCTGTCTACCTATCTATCCATCCATATACCCATGTTTGCCTTCACTGACAACTCAGTACTGTATATGCAAAAGGGTTCATATTTGTTGTCTGTATTTCCCACGTACCTCTCTATGTCTTTCTCATCCTCAATGCTGCCATATTGATCACTCAACTTTGGTACATTGCCCTTCTCTTCACCCAACTCAATATTTATTTCTATCTATCTAACAGCGTTCCCTCCCCGTCCCTCCCACCCCTGGTAACCAACAAAGAAAATTTCCTTCAATAAAAACCTGATATATTTTGATTAATTAAGGAAAAATTATACATACTCGGACATGAGAACAGGGAGGATCTAGTTAAGGTCATGTTAACTCCTCAAGCTTCAAACCCACCACTCATCTGTCTGGTTGCTGTACTGTGGTGGCTTGTGTGTTGTTGTCACACTGGAAGTTATGCTACTGGCTTTTCAACTACTAGCAGGGTCACCTATGGCAGACAGGTCTCAGTGGAGCTTCTAGACTAAGACAGACTGGAAGAAGAACATGGCTGTCCACTTCTGAAAAACTGGCCACTGAAAACTTTATGAATAGCAGTGCAACGCTGTCTGATACAGAGCTGCAAGAGGAGCTCCTCAGATTGGAAAGCATTCAAGATATGACTGGGGAAAAGCTGCCACCTCAAAGTACAGACCACCTCAATGACATGGATGGAGTAAAGCTTTCAGGAGGTTCATTTGCTGATATGGCATGAATCAAAACGAGAAGAAATAGCTGCAACACCCATTAGTGATTGAAATGTAGAATGTACAAAGAAAGAATCTAGGAAAACTAGAAGTGGTAAAAACTGAAATGGAACACATAAAGATTGATAACCTCAGCATCAGTGAGCTGAAATGAACTAGTACTGACCATTCTGCATCGGACAATCTTATGATCTATGCTGGGAATGACAAATTGAAGAAGAATGAGCGGCATTCATTATAAAAAATTACCTTTTTTAAGACCTATCCAGAAGTACCATGCTATCAGTGATGGGATAACATCCATACCCACAAAAGAAAGATCAGTTAATACAACTATTATTCAAATTTACACACCAATGACTATAGCCAAAATCGAAGAAATTGAAGACTTTTACCAAACATGCAGTATTTTGATCACATATGCACTAAGATGCATTGATAATTAACAGCCATTGGAATGCTACGGTTGAAAACAAAGACAGACAGGTAGCTGGAAAATATGGCCTTAGTAAGAGAAATGACACCGGAGATCACATGACAGAATTTTGCAAGACCAACAACTTCCTCATTGCAAATACCTTTTTTCAACAACATATACAGCGACTATACATGTGGAACTCATCATATGAAATACATAGATATCAAATCGACAGCATTTGTGGAAAGAGGCATTAGAGAAGCTGAGTATCATCAGTCAGAACAAGGCCAGGAGCTGACTGTGAAACAGACCATCAATTGCTCGTATACAAGTTCAAGTTGAAGTCCAAAACCCTGAGTATATCCTATCTGAATTTAGAGACCATTTCAAGAACAGATTTGACACAATGAACACCAATGACTGAACTGTGGATGACATCAAGAACATCATACATGAACAATGCAAAAGGTCATTAAAAAGACAGGGAAGAAGTAAAAGTCCAAAATGGATGTCAGAAGAGACCCTGAAGCATGCTCTTGAACACAGAATAACTACAGCAAATGAAAAAATGATGAAATAAAAGAGCTGAACAAAAGATTTCAAAGTCTGGCTCAAGAAGATGAAGTAAAGAATTATAGAAAGGCGGGGCAAGATGGCGGACTAGGCAGAAGGATTGCACAGACCCTCTTCAACAAAGAAAAGGGAAACCAATTAACACAGACAAAGAAGATAATCTTGGACCCCTGAGCCTTGAAGGAAAGGATGCAGAATTGGACTAAACCACAACTAGCAGAAGAATTTGCGTGAAAATACCAAAAA